TGAATTGATAAAGTGACTGTGGCAATGAGAGAAGGTATGTCAGAAACAGTTGAGATTGGCTCAAGATAGGGCAGGGCTCAGAGCTGTTGTTCATAGGGTCACCATGACATGTAGTCACTTGAACAGCGCATAACAACAACATGATAAATGGAATTGTTTTTCTAATTTCCCTTTCAGAATCTCATTGCTAGTATAGAGAAGCCCAGCTGATTTTTCTTTGCTGAACCCGTACTCTATAGTTTTGCTAATTTCTTTTATTAACTCTAGAAGCTTTCTTGTGGACCCTGCAAGTTCTATCTTTAGGATCATGTCATCTGCAAATAGAAATAATTGTAGTTATTTTTCAATCTGAATTTATTTCATTTCTTATTTTTGTTTTAATACTCTGGCTAAGACTTCTGATAAAACAGTGAATTGATTTTTATAATTTCTGTAAAGAAGGCTGTTGAAATTTTCATCAGAATTTTGTTGAATCTATATGTTGCTTCAGTTATTACTGGTATCTTAACAATGTAAGTAAGTTAAGTCTCCCCATCCATGAACATGGTAAATCTTTTCATTGCACATTCTTATTTTGGTCTCAATTTCAAGAGGAAAGCTATTAATCTTTCTTCATTAAATACAGTGTTGGCTATTGGCTTTTTATATATGTTGATGTTGTTATGTGCCATCGAGTTGCCTGCGACTCATTGCAACCCTATGTACAAGAGCTCTAAATGCTCTTCTATCCTGTGCCAACAGCCATCTCAAACGCACTTTTTCCCACCTCTCCAGTCACAGAATCGATCCATCTCATCAAAGGTCTTCCTCTCCTTCGCCGCCCCTCCACTCTACCAAACATGATATCCCTCTCCAAGGACCAGTCCCTCCTTGCAACATGCCCAAAATATGTCAGACGAAGCTTCAGAAGCCTTGACTCCAGGGAACAGTCTGGCTTCACCCTCTCCAGGACATACCTGTTTGTTCTCCTAGCAGTCCATGGTATATTCAACACTCTTCTCCAGCACCACAACTCAAAGGCATCAATTCTCTTTCTATCAACCCTATTCACTGTCCAACTCTTCGATGCATAGCATGTAATTGAGAAGACGATAGCCTGGATCGGGTGCACCTTAGTCTCCAGTCTGACATCGTTGCTCTTCAGTACTCTTGAGAGGTCCCTCACAGCCGACTTTTCCAGTGCAATTCTTCTCTTGATTTCCTGGCTGTTGTTACCAAGAGTGTTGACTGTGGAGCCAAGTAAATTAAAACTGTTAACAATCTCAATCTCTTCACTACCCATACAGATGCTGCCAATTGGCCCAGTAGTTAGAATCTTTGTTTCCTTGATGTTGAGCTTTAGTCCATATAGGAGACTGTAGTCCTTGATCTTCTGCAGCAAGCACTTCAGGTCCTCCTCAGTTTCAGCAAGCATTGAATATGCGTTGAATAATTTTCAGAGATGTCTATTTAATTTTTCTTAAGGATTTTCATCAAGAAAGGCTATTGGATTTTATCAAGTGTTTTTTTCTGCATCCATTAGAAATGATCTTGTGGTTCTTTGTTATGTGAATGAGATGTATTATATTACATTGGCTCATTTCCTAATACTGAATCATCTGTGCATTCCTGATACAAGTCTCATCTGGTAATATTATAGGACTCTTATTATGTTGTTGCATTCTGTTAACTGGTGTTTTGTTCAGGTGTGGGTTTTTTAATTGATTTTGTTTAGGTTTTTTGTATTTATGTTTGTAAAATATTTTGGCCTGTTGTTATTTGTGATATCTTTGTCTTGTTTTAAGTATCAGGGTTATATTTAATTTACGAAATGAATTAGAGCCTGTTTTCTTTCTTGGAAGAGTTTAAACAAGACTGATGCCAATTTATTTTAAATATTTGTTAGTGGTAGAACTCTCACAAAGTTTTTATCACTGGTTCATTTTTTTTACTTGTTATGAGTGTTTTATAAGATTTTCTTTTTACTCTTGAGTCAGCTTTGGTAGATTGCTCTTTGATTTATTTTATCAGTTTTTATAACTTTCTGTTTATAAGACTTTTACCTCTTTTGTTAACTTTGTTCCTTGATATTTTTTTATTTTATGGTAATATTTTCTTAAATTCCTTTGACTCTTAAAAATCTTTGGATATTTAGAAATTCTATCTAATTTTTTAATTGACCTTGTACTCTGCCACTTTGATGAATTTTTTATTCTAATAGCTTCCCTTTTTTTCTATTTAACAAGTATTTATTAAGTGCTTTCCATGTGCAATATACTAATTTCTCATGTGTGTAAGGAAAACATTGTAGGGGAAATTATGCAACAGCATAAACACACATTTCCACTTCCAAAAGACCTTTTGCTCTATGAGATTACAGAAGGCAACTGGAAAAAAAGTCTGGGTGTTATCTTCACGTGGCAGGAGGAATACCTGCACCTGTTAAAACCTGTAAAAAAAAACCTGTTAAACTGTTGGCATGATGTCCATTGTGTCGAAAAGGGCATGAAGAAGAGCTCTGGGGCAGGTGCTTGGATGTAGGTCCCATCAGTCATAATTTGCTGGTGATGGACTTATGCAGCTTCAACAAGGACTCTTCAGAAGATGTTACTGGATCATCCAGATTGAACCCCACCTCAAAGGTGGGCCTTTTTCCTAAAATAATTAAAGCAAGCAGCACTGTGAAGTTGGCCGTCATTCCCTTGATCCTGTAGTGACACTGTTCACAGGACTGGTGTACTCAAAGCAGTGGAAGATGAAGGGGTTTCCATGGTACATCACACAGTTCTGGCGGTAGACTTACGGGTGGAGGAAATAATCTGGGGCACCAGGAACACATCCTTCACCTCATCAGGGTTAGGCTGCAGCTTGAAGTCTTGGTCTACAAACCCCACAACAGGGTTGTCAAGACAGCTTTCCTCTGCCTTTCCCAGCATGATATCTTTTTCCCGAAGACTGGTGCTTGATAAAAAATTTTTGGTGCGAGGCAGCAGATGGTCTCCACTTGATGGGGAAGCAGCCCTATTTCCTTCTGTGTTTCCTGGAGAGCTGTAGCGATCTCATCCCAGTCTCCTGCTTTACATTTTCCTCCAGGGAAGCAAACCTGTCCTGGAGATCTTCTTAGCTTCTCTGATCAGAGAGTGGATAAACAGATGGTGTTTTCCTTCCTTAACCATCAGTGGTAGAAGGACAGAAGACTTTTTGGGCAGCAAATGGGAAAACTTGGTTCCCACATCATGCTTTTTCAAGGGGGCTTTAGCAGCATCAAGCAAGCTATTTCTGGCTGGCTCCTGGTGAAAGTGTGCATGTGACATCAGCCCCACAAAGTTTGCTGTAAAACTTGTTGAAGTGTCTTTAGAGAGGTCTAATAGCTTTCTTCTGTTTTATTTTTAGTTTTCTATTGTCAAGAATCAGGCCGTCTGGGGAAAGGGATAGTTTTACTTCTTCCTTGTTTGGATACCTATTTTTACCCCAGCCTAATGTCTCTGATTCAGACTTCTGAAACAGGGTTAAACAGCAGTAATCAAAGTGGATTTCCTTGTCTTTTTCCTAATTGGGAGGACTCTCAGTCTTTCTCTGTCAGGTGTGTTGTTAGCTGTGGGTTTTTCTTAAATGCCCTTCATTATACTGAGGTATTTCTCATCTATTCTAATCTTTATTTTGAAAGCCTGTTCCTGTTTCCTTCTGACATGTCTCTATTATTTTCGGAGTTTTTGTTTGAGAGTAGCACCTCTACTTGCTTCCCTGGCAGTGAGTATTTTCCTACAAAGTTCCATTC